AGAGATGTAGTTCCCCATAAACTTTCCGACGTCCCGCGAAATACACGACCAGTGATTACGGGCGGCCTAAATGAACCGGTAGTCGTCCGCGGTAGGCGGGAGGACAATCGAGACATATGGCATTCACAGATTACGATTTATATGCACATTTTTATGCAGACATGCCCGTCCTAGCATTCCATTTCTATACATGGACATGCTATAGTAGGAGGGCACTAGGAGCTGCATAGGTAGGAAGGAACAAGTAGGGCTAAGACTTCTAACTGAATCAATCACACTTTCAAATTTCCATTCATCTGCTCCCATCCACTACGCGCCTCGCGCAATCTTTTAATTTGTTATGAGCCCAAGCTACGGTGACACCACCGACAAGCTTGTGAAAGACAATTACTTCCACTAATATGTGGACTTAGCTCGCTTGCAAGGGTCTGCTCCGCAGACCAGAGAGTCCCGATTTCAACAAAGTGAGCGACCGCTCCACGGTTGAGTGGAAGACCAACGATTTGAAGGCTATTGGTGTTATCGCTGGAGACGTGAGTCTCACGTACCAAGTCTACATCCGTGAAGCGCTGACCGCTGCTGAGACGTGGATGTTACTCAAAGAGCACTCCAACAAGAAGGCACTCAAGAACTGGCTCCTCGTCACCAAGAAATTACACAGCTTCATGATCAAGCCCAGTACAATGTTCGCTGTCCATGTGGACAAGTTCAAAAATCTGGTCCTGCGATATGGAGTGAATCGGCGAGTCTCTCGACGAGACTCGGCATCTTGTGCTGCTACTTGGAAGTCTGGCTGACGAGTTCCGTATGTCGTCGACATTGATGGAAAACACGCCTAACGTGACGCTCCCCTACGCGATCCAAACACTCGCTGGTGATGAAACCACGAACAGCACAGAACCTACGAAATTTATTGAGTTCATCACCGGTACGCTTCGCTACAAGAACATGCACGTTACAAGCCCTGACAGTCCAGATGACAAAACCTGTAATTCTACATAAATTGCAGTACAGATGACCATAAGCATAACAAGATGCAGGGAGGCTGATGCACAAACCATCTTCCTAACTTGGTACACCGTACCAAATCGTATTAATACGCTTATTTTTATACTATATTGTACGCCAGCGTGGACGAGGCCGCCAGCTTCCCCACCACTAAACCTTAATTATTTTTTTCTTTTATCAAGTCCCTCAGCGTCCAATATACAAACTTCTCCAAAATTCTCTACCTACATATTTTCTCTCTCTTTCCTCAGCTCCGTAACACCTCTTAAAAAATCTCTTAGTCCAACAATAAACTAAAGTACTATAGTAAATCTTCCTCGAAACATTGTAGTTCAAGTAGAAAGTGCGATTCCGCCTCGTCCACACGCACACACAAAAAATGAATGGGGGCTTTTTGCCCCATACCATGGGTAACACGAGCGGTACTCGAGGATACCCCCCCC